CCCTCATCCAGGTCATCAGTAAAGATGTTGAGTGGGACTGGGCCCAGTACCTGGGGGACACCACTGGTCACTGGACGCCAGCTGGATGCAGCACCATTCACCACCAGTCTCTGAGTCTGGTCAAATGCTCTGGTGCTTTTGCTTTCACAGAGTTACCTTACTTCATAACAACACAAGCAAATATTTTTACTAGGACTTCACAGAAAACTGTGCCCTTCCCTTTGGGGGAATCCTTGTGAAAAATGCCAAGTGTACTAGAACCCATTTTGTTCTCAGATATAACCCATGTCTGAGGCTTTAGTCTCTTCAAATGACATGGGGAGTTTGAAAAGGGTGATATATAAAGAATGCTTTCCTTCAAAATTTGTTTTTCTTTAAATCTAAATAGTGCCTTCACATGTTAACTGCTAGAGATTTTAACAACTCCTTTGCCCAAAAGTCATTGAGTATCATGGCATATCTTTATTTACTTAGCAGATATTCCAATTTTCAGGTGAAATTAGAAGTCAGTATAACCACTGGCATTTCTTCTGTGACTTGTCTTGTTTTCTGTCACGTTTAATAGTTGTTGCTATTTGAGTCCTAGAAAATAACAGGTAAAGTATAAAGCAGTGGAAGAAATCTTATATTTTAATCACAATCTTGAGAAAGTGTTAATTTTTTAAGATTTTAGACTGGCATATAAAATCATTTCATGATTTAGCAAATGCAAAATCCTTAGTAATTCTTAAGACAGTATGTTCATCATAGGTGCTGCAGATACTTGATCTTTATGCTCAAGTGTACGAAGATCTCCTGGCAGTACCTGTTGTGAAAGGAAGGAAGACAGAGAAAGAGAAATTTGCTGGGGGCGATTATACAACCACGGTAGAGGCATTTATATCTGCCAGTGGAAGAGCAATCCAGGTATTTATCTATTCAGCAAATACAGTAAGATGAAAGCCTTAAACTGATGCTTGATAGACTTAATTTTTCATTGAGTATAATATTCTTTGTGAAACTATTTCAGGGAGCGACATCGCATCATCTAGGGCAGAATTTCTCAAAGATGTTTGAGATTGTATTTGAAGATCCCAAGAAACCAGGAGAAAAACAATTTGCTTATCAGAATTCCTGGGGCCTTACAACTCGAACTATTGGTGTAATGACAATGATTCATGGAGATAACATGGGATTGGTGCTCCCACCTCGAGTAGCCTGTGTTCAGGTGTGTAAAAATGCCTTAAACTAGCATTTTGTTTCCTTTCCTGTCTTGGAATTTGTGAGCATTTCATACTGGGCTCCTGGAAGACTTAACATTGGATAGGAGCTACCTAACTGCAGACCTTACTGTATAAAGTTAATACAGATCATTAGGGTACTTGCGGTGGACAAGCTCCCTTTAGTAGTCCCTCCATTTAAAATCATTTCATCTGTATCATTTGGGTGAAAAGGGAAATGTGTTGTTTACTTCTGAGAACGTGAAAGAAATTACTAGCATGTAGGGCCACAGTATTGTTTTCAAGTTTTTATAGTAACTAGGAGCTAAATTTTTTTTAGAATGTAAAGTACATGTTATGTTCTATTGCAGGTTGTAATTATTCCCTGTGGTATCACAAATTCCCTTTCTGAAGAGGACAAAGAGGCTTTGTTGAAGAAATGTAATGAATATCGTAACAGGCTGCTTAGTGTTAATATTCGTGTACGGGCTGATTTAAGAGACAACTATTCACCTGGCTGGAAGTTCAACCACTGGGAGCTTAAGGTACATTTTTTTCCAGGGGGTGTTTTGAAGCTTCTCTGTGAGGGGTGTGTATGGGGCATGTTGTGCATGCCTTGTATTCGGAAGGCAAATATTTTGTCTAAATGAAGAATTGCTGCCTGATAATCAGTGATCACTTTCATTAGTAAATGAAGAAACAATGTTTTCCTATACTTTGTTTGCTAGGATTCATGTGTCATTAGCAATTTTTTGAATCTCTAAGCCTCCACTTTATATGCCTAGAAAATGAAATTAGTAGTACAAATTACTTTCATGTTTAAAAATTTGTACTAGAAGTAATGTGTCTTCGGGTTACACAATGAAACACAATGAAACAGAGAAGATAAACCTGTACAGTGTCAATAAAGGAAGGACCAGAATTTTTTGTTTCAAAACTACCATGTTCTGCTCATACAGCAGTTGAAAGAGCTCATCAAGTACAAGATGAACTTCTACTTCATCAAGTACAAGAGGCTTTTGCAAAACAAAACTAACAAGCAGAACGATCCAGGAGTAATAAGAAGTTTTAAACTGTATTGAGTGAAGTTATGGGATCATATTTTTTTCTGAATTTGAAATTAGTTTCAGTATGTTAATCATAGAATCACAGAGTGGCCTAGGCTGG